AAAAGTTTAATGCCCTCTTTCTAGCGCTCATGTTCTAGAGAGAATGGAATCTATTGATAAGAGTGGCGTTGTCCAAATGAGTCATTTTAATACAGAAAATTATTCCTTTTCATTAGGCATTTATGCTCCACTCATGACAGAACAGAAGAATGACTAGACAGGGTCAGTGTTTTACAAGAGAGAAGTAGGAGGTAGTGGACTGTCTTTTAAATCTCATGAAGGGAAATGGCCTTATTTTCACACCATACTGAAATGCCCTTTCAGGAGCTGGTGATGGGGCAAGAAGGGGAGGCCAGAACAGTCCTGAAGTTTTGTAGAAGTAATTTGACCCTGACCTTGAGCTTGAAACTTGGTGGGGAATGCTGTTTTGGAAACATTTGCTTGAAGAAATCCCTCCAGTCTGGGTGACTTGGGGTAAAGAATGTTTTCTAAAAATATCTCCAGAGGAGGAGAGTAGTGAGGTTGAAGCTGGATTCTGGAACTGGCAGAGCTCCTCCACAAGGTGGAGGGAAATAATGAGGTTGATGAGGTCACCACAGCGTCGCCGGGCCAGCCATCCAGTGGGTGGGAGTGGGACATTGTCAGACCAAACCATTTATTTTTCTGTTGGTTAATTTTCAAGGCAGTTTATAGAATAAGAAGCAGCAGGATGCTTGTGCAGTTACTGCTGGCTTTGAGTGCCAGGGTGGATGACAGAGAATCTCAAATTTGAGTAACAAACTTGCCCTGAAAACAGGGAGCAGTGGATGCATTGAAAGAAATTGTGGTGTAAAAAAGAACAGCGATTCCTGAATCGTCTAGGGGCTCATGTACTTCCCTGGGGAAGTCCTTTATCTCTTGTAGCCTCAAATTGGTCATCTATAAAATAGGGATAATAATCCAACCTCAGAGTGTTACAAATATCAAATTAGGGGGATGTGAAAGGGTGCAGTAAACTATAGAAGACTAAACACAAACGAGCTATAGGAATAGTAGCTCATGATCAGTAAGCATTGCTGTGAGCTGGGTGGTGTGCTAACAAGGCTCCCCATGCCTTGTTTCAAGAGCATGGTGGTCAGCTAGATCATGCCCCCGCCCCCCAAAAATGTCCCTCTCCTCATTCCCAGGAATTTATGAATGTCACCTTATATGGCAAAAGGTATTTGATAGATTGTCTAAGGTACAGATCTTGAGATGGGCAAGTTATCCTGGATTGTCCAGTTAGGCTCTAAACGTCCTCACAAGGGTCCTCCTGACAGGGAGGCAGGAGTTCACAGTGTGTAGCAGGAGATGTGACAACAGAGGCAACAGGTGCAGTGATACCAAGAAGAGGCCACAGGCCAAGGAAAAGGTGGCCCCTTGAAGTGGCAAAAGGAAATGAAAAATTCTCCCCCTGATACCTCCAAAAGAAACGCCGTCCCATGAACCCATTTTAGACTTTGGACCTCCAGGCTGTAAGAGAATAGGTCTGTGTTGCTTTAAGCCACTCCATTTCTGGTAATACGTTAGAGCAGCGATAGACAAGTCCGGGCATCATTCCTGGAGTCAGGTTTGCTTGGATTCATATGCTGGTACCACCACTTCTTCATCCATGAAGTGGAGATCGTAACAAAAGCGCCTGACTCTTAGGGTGGCAGGAGAAATTCGGTTGAGATGGTACAAACTGAACCCTTAGCCCCGTGCATGCCTGGCATAGAGCTCTCAGTTAATATTGGCAATTATGAATATCATCTCATTTAATCACTGCTAAAGCTCTGTGAGGTCAGTGCTATTGTTAACTCCATGTTACAAAGGAGGAAACCTAGTAATTAAGAAAACCCACTCATGGTTGCACAGGCTCCACGTGGCAGGACCAGACTCTAAAGCAGGTCTGTGCCTTTGAGCCCATGCTTGCCGACTCTGCTCCCCTGCAGTGGGGTTATGACAACACCACCTCTATTGACTGCCACCTGCCTAGGCAGGAGCACAGAACCAGACAGAGTACCGTGCTCCCTGTACAGGCAAAAGCCAACAAGACTGGAAATCAAATAAATGTGCATTTATTAGGGAAACAAAAACTGTAGCTGCCATGGAGATCAGCACCCAAGAGGTTGCCAGCCCTCTGACATCCCTTGGCTAGCCAGCCCCATGCAGCAAATCATGAAAGTCTGAATACTGTGTTTAGTCATTTTGGTTCTGGAATAATTGCTATTATCGTAAATGTTTTATAGCCCTCATTATGGCTCACATTTAAATATCAGTGTAGTAATACATTAATAAGTCATTGCTGCCGGACTTCTGCCGGATGCATTACAGTCCAAGCCCTGCATATAACTGCACTGTATATTCAGCTAAATTAGGGCTGGCTGTGAACTCAACCTGATGCTGAGTGCCCGGGCAGGGTCAGAAAGAAGCCTCTTTCTTGCAAAGCCTTCTTACTCTTTGCCTTTGAGATAAAAGGAATGCTTAGATTTTGCCTGGTAGTGAGCCAGTGACCCTAACTAGGTCTCCCCAAGTGTAGAGGCTAGAACTCTGGGATGGATGGGTGGAAGGGGAAATGAAGGCATCATTTCTGCCCCAGAAGCATTTCTAAACTGTTGGAGGACTTGGGGGCATAGTTCTCACTTGCAGGAAGCTCCCTGCCTAAGACAGGAGACGCTGGTCTGATGGAGTGAGAGATTCTTTGGCCTTGTCTAATGAGACATTCTGAAGGTTTCCCAGGTCAATCGACATTGGATGGGTTAACCCTCACACACACACACACACTTATAGAAAAGATAAGACACAAGAAACAAAACAGCTACATAGTCTCAACTTCATAAAATGCCAAGTATCTGCACTGGTGCATTAGTGAAATTATGGAGTAGGCAGAAACAAGCACCGTAAATCTGCCCTGTTCATTCCTCTTTACCACACTCTGTGCCTAAACTAGTGCCAGACACAGGGTGGGTACACAAAAAGTATGGAGGGGAGGAAAATGGTTAGGTTCTGTGCCTTTATGTCAATAGATTTCCCCCTGGCCTTATTAGCCACACAAATGCCAAGTAGGTCAGGGGGAATTGAGGAATGCCTGGGATAAGGGGGTGTGCTCACTGGAATCCTGCTGTCATGTCGGGAAGAGTCACAGGGGCTGGAGAAAAGTCTGTGCAGAGCCCTGTGTGGGGCGGGTATGGAGGCCACTGGATGCTGCACAGAGCTCTGTTTCTATATCCATGGGGCTTGGGGTAGGCCCAGGAATGAGCAGGACAGGACGGCATTCTCTCCACCTGGATCAGGAAATGGTGGCCTCCTTTTATGGAGTGCACACTGCATGCTAAACCCTTTACCATGCCTCTTTCTACCCATAAAGAATCTGTGGATGACAAATGTTGATAATTTTCCCAAAACCGCACAACCAGTGTACATGAGATTCAATTTGAACCATGTATGTATCAGGTCATGGGACTAGAATGCACAAGATAGAAAATGTTGGGGGATATTTTTACAAGAAGATAATGTGTTTACCAAGAGCCAAGAGCAAAAGAAATCTGTTAAGCCATGAAGGCTGCCGAAGAAAGGCTCCTTCCTGAGCCAGTGGGACCCTGTGAGTGGGCAGGAGTCAGGCTGATGAGAAGGAGACTGCTGTGAACCCTGGGAGGAGCACACGAACAAGTGGCATCTACAAAGGATGGCGCCAAGGCTGTATCAAGCTTTTGCTCTTTGGGCTGCAGAGTGAAATAGGTATGAAGTCAGAGGGCTGAGAACCAGGCTCAACCTTCCTATGTATGGCTGCCTCTCCATCTGTGCAGTCACTGAACCAGTTGAGCAGAAGAGGCCCTCCTGCTACATAACATTTCCACCTCTGCAGATGCTTCCTTGGTCCATTTCTGGAGCCCACTTCTTTCTTACTCCTTCTCCCTATACAAAGATACCAGTCGGGGCTAACATTGCATTGTAGGAGTTCCCGTCCATGGTCACAGAAGGTACAAGAAAGGAGACTTAATCCCTGTTCCCACAGAGCTCACAGACTCATTTAAGATGTGCTTGAAAAATCAGAAGACGCGTAGCATCCTGTGTGAGGCAGTATATGCAATGGGCGAGCAGAGTTCCCAGCAAGGTGGGGCTGGCTTCAAATCCCAGTTCCAGAGCTTAGCAGCTAGGGGTCCTTGGAAAAGTTATTTTACCTCTCTGTAGCTCAGGGTTGTGTGTCATTAAACAAAATGACATATAGTAGCCCTGCACACCCCATCTGCCATATCACTGTCTACAATTTCAGTTACTCATGATCAACCGTGGTCCAGAAGCAGATGATCCTCCTCCTTATGAATCCTCTGGTCACTAGTAGCCTAGGCCATGTCAGAACCCCTACGTCATTCACCTCGCTCCATCTCGTCACTAGGCATTTTCTCATCTTACATCTCAAGAAGGTTGAGTACAGTGCAACCAGTTATTCCAAGAGAGAGACCACATTTATACAAGTTTTATTACAGTATATTATAATTGTTCTATTGTATTAACTAGTTAATAGTTCATCTCTTACTGTACCTAATTTATAAATTCAACTTTAAATTAAATAAAACTATATAGGTGTGTATGCATAGGAAAAAATATAGTACATACAGGGTTTATTGCTATCCATGGTTTCAGGTAACCACTGGGGGTCTTGGAATGTATCCCTGTGGATTGGGGGGAGCTACTGTGTAACTGTTTCCTTCTTTCTAAAATGAGGGCAGTAATGTGTAACTGGCATTGTAGTTGTAAAAATTAGAGCTATTGTAATGCAGCACTCAGCACACAGTAGGATTTCAGGAAATGGTATTATTACTCCCAACGGGTAAGCCAGCACTGAGAGGGCAGCAGAGGGGAGCAGGGAGCTGCCTGAGGGAGGGAATCAGGGCTTCTCCTTGTCTGGAGATGCGGCCACCTGCCTCCAGCTGCCCCGCCGTGTTGGCGTGTGATCCCTCTGGCGGTCCCAACCACCCCTGCCCACCTGTCATGCACACCTTCGTGCCCCGCACCATGCTGCCACTCTCTTAACCATGTCCCTGGTCCTCTGTCTGCAGCACCCTCAATAACAACAACATCAGCCGCATCCAGGTCACCAGCTTCAACCACATGCCCAAGATCCGGACTCTGTGAGTAAAGCTCCCCACTTCATCCCCCAGCCCCTGCCCGCTTAGGCAGCCCGGAGCGCCCCCCACTAGGCTGCCGGTGAAACCCACTGTGCTGACTTGGCAGCTGGTTCCCACATCCACACGCCGCCTCCGCCTCCGTCTACCACTAATGAAGGGGTGTTGGTGGGTGAGGGCAGGTGGCGGGAAGGGCCACAGCGCCCAGGGCTCGGAACCGCCACTCCGCAGCAGACAGACTCCTTACCCTTCACTCTGGGGCGGGGCAGTTCTTCCTGTGTCTTCCATCCTGATGGCAAAGTTTATTAGTGGTATGTTGTCACGGAACATACAGAAGTGAAATGTAATGATTCACCATCTCCCTAGCTACAGCTGTGTACGTGTACCCCTGGCAGTTCTGTCCTACTGCCCGTGGCTATGATCATTTCCACTCGGAGACCAGTGGGCCAGAGGGAGTCTCAGTTCCTCCTTCTCTCCATCCTCCCAGCCCACACCCGCCACACCCCCTGCTTACCTGCTCCCTGGGTGATATTCTGGTATTAGAGTGCAGTAACTCGGTTCTTTATCTGTCATGTTTGGGTGCACATGTACTGAAGCAATCTCCCTTAGCACCCCATCCCGAGAGCACCTCTAGTGCCTTCCTTCCTGAAGAGCTCCCCTCTACTCGCAGCCAGAGACCCTTTTGTGAGTTTCTCTGCAAACAGACTCTGCCGGCTTTTCCAAGACGTTCATACCTGGTACTTTCTTGTATGGGTGGACCCTCAATGGTGTTTGCATGACAGGAATAGGGGAGAACCAGCTCCCAGGAGCTTTCAGCCAAATATGTTTAGGGCCAAGGCAAAGGGCTGGAATTCCTGCTGGGCCCTTTCTTACTCCAGGACCTCTGTTCCCTCTCCTATAAGTAGGCATGATGGGGAGGTTCAGGTGAGACTAAATATGTAAAGTGCCTGGCACGGAGTAGATGGTAGGTGACATCAATATATTATCATTCTCACCACACTGTTTATACAGAATTCTGGACTGAGAGTACCAAGCATGGCCCCTGAGCACCATGAAACCTGGGATTTGAAAATCCTTAGAACACTGGTTCCAAAAGTGCAGTCCCTGGACCAACAGTGTCAGCAACCCCTGGACTTGTTAGAAAAGCAAAACTTCAGGCCCTGCCCCAGACCCCTGGAATCAGAATCTGTGCGGGAGCCAGTCTTCTGTTCTGAACAAGCCCTCCACAGGATTTTAATGCTCCTAAGGTCTGAGAAGGCCTGCATCCGTGACAGTGGAGCAGTTTACAAGGCAGCAGTAGGGAACCCCCAGAGAAGCCCACAGAGCTGAGAGGCAGGCAGACCTGAGTATAAAATGTTAGCTCTGCCACTCACTCTGGGCAACTTTCTGCATCTGTCTGCACTTCAAGGACAGTGAGTTAATGAATGCTTATCTCCACCTTGTGAGAATGAGGTGCACTCACAGGGAAAGTGCCTGGTCATGGTGTGTGCTCAACAGATTCTAGTTATTATGAAGAGGAAGAATCTGAGTCCCGCTTCCATCATTATTCTCCAATTCTTCCTTTGATCTCTCCTCTGATTCCACAATTCAGCAAAGAAAATCTACCCTTTTCCTTACCTTTTAACATGGGATGGTGCAGTAATGGAGTTTGAAGGAGAAACCACCAGGTCTTTAAAGACCTCTTCAAAGTCCACATAAAACATGGGTGAGCGGCAGAGGCGCATGGCCCAGGGCTCCTGGCCAAGAAGCTGAAAGCAAGCCTCACGGTGTGGGGCCTGCATCTCCCCAGCCCAATGGGTTGAACAGAAGGAAAAGAGCCCTCACTTGCAGAAATCACCAGGCCTGCTCGCGTGGCCTTCCCCGCCTCTCATTTCAAGTTTAGGAGCAGCCGTGCAGAAGCTGGACAGGGTCCGCAGAGCGGGGTGGCTAGGTCTGGACTTCAGTGTTTCGTTTGGCCGAGCGGGGGTACAGAAGGAGGGCAGGAGGGTTTTTCTCCTTGTTCCTGTTGTCGTTCTTCCCTGTTGTCCTGAACACTCATCTGGTGAGTTCAGATCAGTCAATCTCATCTGTTCCCTTTGCTCCCTGCCTGCTGCCATTTTCTCTTTAGTTTAATTTCAGAGATGGCTCTGTATAGAACTCCCTGGAGACTTGAGCTGACTAATCCCCGTTCACTGTAATTAAAGTGGGGGGAAGGGGACTGGTGGTGGAGAAGGGGGAAGAGGAGAGAGGAAGGAAGTCCTAAATGGAATTTCTAAAGGAAAGCTTTTATATTGAATTCAGAAAGCCACATTTTATAGAAAATGAACACTGCCCCTCTCTAAAAGGATTTGCTGGAAATTTAATTTAGCGCCTGTGGCTAAAAGGCACCTTTTACAAATTGGCATTTGTATTCATTCACCTTATCCTCTGTAAAGGTGGTTTCACCAATGTGGGATGTGGTGTTTCCATCAGCAAACATTGCAGAATAACATGCAGAATAACCACCTAGCCACCTAGATGCTTTAGTGTCTAAATGAGAGATGACAGCCTTGTACAGACCAGGCTGTGGCTGGGAAGAGACGTGGCTGGAGCTGGTCCCCACATGGTAATGGCCACAGGTAGCATCACTTCCATGGTTTACAGTATGCCAGGCCTTGTACTAAGCACTTCTCACAAATCATTTCAATCCTCACCACAGCCCTAGGAAGGGGCACTACCAATATTCCTGTTCTATAGATAACACTGAGGCCCAGAGTTAAGTCAGCTGTCAAAAGACAAAGAGAGAAAGCACAGAGCCAGTGTCAGATTTGGGCAATTTGATGTCAGAGACTGAGCTCAGCCTATTCAGCAGGAACAAAGGCAGACGAACATGTTCCAGGCGAGCCTAGGAAGAGGCCAGAGCTCCCACAGGGCCTAAGGAAGTGTGGCTTCCTCACGGGGGCCACCCTCCCCTATGTCATTGCCACCCCCACTCACTAAAATAATTGAAAGTAATTAAAATAGTTTTCCTTCTCAGTCAAGAGGATTATCAATATTCCTGGCAGTGTGCAGGCTTCCATTTCATGATTGATGTGATTTTCTTTCCATATTAGCATTTGGGATGATAACTGCTTTATTTGATCCCCCAAACATGGTGTGAAAGGCAGTTTGCAAGAATCTGCTCAGCTCAACTCTCCACCATTTCTGGTAAAATTCCAATAGGGGGGATCTGAGCCCATCTGCTGCTTTTGACAAGAGCTTTCACATGGCTTCCAACTCAGTTTTGGCCACGTCTTTTCCATGGTCCCACTTGCAAGGAGAAGAATTCCTACAAAAGTGGATGAAGGAATGGGAATCACGTGTAGTAATGCTAAGAAGAGAGGTCACTTGAGGCTGGCAGGTGGGAATTGAGAAAGAACCAAACTGATAACCAAACTCTTCCAAAAGAGAAACCTCTGACATTTTGATAATCCCAGAAATAAATTAGCTCAGTAAGGGTCTGACTTAGCCAAACCTCATCTCACTTGTTCCCTGAATCATTTACCCCCGATTTACACACGGGAGTTTGTCTGTCGCTCCTCCTGTGGGCCCACCCTCGGTGATTCACTGTAAATCTGTTTCCTCTGCTTACATACCTCACTGCCAGCAAGACCACCTGCCTCCTCTAATAAAAGCCACACTCTCAGTAAAGGCTTCTGGTTCTCCTGACACCCAGAAGAACAGCACCTCAGCCTGTGTGTCCTCTGCCTTTGTTCCACCTTGTCACCAAAAACTGTGACCCACTGTTGACATTTTCCTAGGCAAACTTTACGCCCAGTTTACACCCGGCCATGGAACCCTCTCCGTCCCTCCTTCCCACAGGACAGCTTACTAATGGGTCAGGAGACAGGTCGTTTTCACTCATGCTGAAGTTTCCCAAGAAGGCCCAGTATAAAAAGGGAAACCCCCCTTTCCCTCATTCTCTTTAGAAAGAGTAATGAGCTGCAAGTCCACCACCAAGCCCCCATCCTGTCCTGGGGACAAAGGGGTGAGCTTTGTTAAAAAAATGGAGGTCTCGCTTTCCCTCTTAGAACTGAGGTCCTTGCCTCCAGCTTAGGAGTTTGCCTCCCCTCCCCCTTCCCGTCCATCTCACCTCTTTCTGGAGAGCCAGCCTAGGAGGACGCCCTGTGTGCTTCAGCAGTGGAAGCTGGTGGAGGCGTGGGGGCTGAGCTCTGAAACACAAAGGGGGAGAGTCCCACCCCTTACAGGTGTAGTATCTTGGGCCTAGGAGCCTGTGAAAATGTGTTCAACCTTAAAGTGTTGGTTCTGAAATACAAGAAGAACATTCCAATGTCAAAATGAATCACTTATAAACAAAATCATAGAAATCTTTTCAAGTTTTTTTCAAGCAGAAGAACATTGCATTCTGTGTGGGATCTGGGACCCCCATCCCCAAGGCTGCAAAGTGCCCAGTGGCCCAGGCCTGCATCCCGGACAGTGGCAGGGAGCTCGGCTGGCATGCAGCACGAGTCAGCTAAACTTGGCTGATGTTTAGCATTGTTGACCTCATGCTAAGTGGAGTGTGGTCAAGAGCCCTTCAGCTCTCCCCATTTGAGGCATGAAGGCAGCCTGAGCCTCTGCTTTAGGGTGGTGCTTGGTATTAACCAGCCTGACAGAGAGTACTTGAAAATCCTAAGTCACTGCAGGCTGGTTAACGTGTCCAATTTGGGGCATTTGAAGTCTGCATCAGAAACGGTGGTAACTAAAACTCACCTACCACCACTTCTAATGACCTAGGGTTGCAAAGATTGTGGAAAATGGAAATCCCTAATAGAGAAACCTTTGAAGAAAAACCTTTAGAAACCCCTGGATACCCTCAGTTTGCCACCCCTACGCCCATTAGTAGAAAGGAAAATAAAGTCATTTAACCAGAGGGGATCCCTTTCAGAAGTAGAATACACAGAACCCTCTAAAGAATCTTATTCACTAAAGGGCAAGAAACTGATCTGGAATCACAACTACTAGAGGGAGAAAGCCAGCATCCTGAAACTGGTTAGGAAGCCATTGCAGAGGCACCTGAACCAGATAGCAAATAAACCTGGTAGTTTTGGACTCCCTGGGAAGGAGAGAAAGGGCACCATGGAGACACTGTATGGTCTGCAGGGACGTGGAATGGGCAACACTTTACCTTAACAGGAGGACAGAGAGAAGATGCATCCTTCATAAAGTACCTTTCTCCCTCTGCCCTGCTCACCCTGGCTGGTGCACATAAGCGATACTGGTTTTTGGCCCACCAGCCTTACATGCATTCATTAAAGGGACACTTAAGAATGATGGAGGGAAAGAGTAAAGGCAACAGCAGAGCTGGGCCACAGTGCCACCACAGACAGAGACACCGAGATTGGGAAGTTGTCTCAAGTCACCTGTAACTAAAGAACTGAAATTTGCAATTTAGTCACCCCTTTGGAAGTTTGACTTGATTAGGAATGTTGCTATATTGATGTCACTCTCCCTGTCCTACATGATGAGGCTTTCTTGAGTGGGAAAGAAAAGAGTGAAATTATTAGTAAGAAACAGAATTGCTCAGAGCCCCGGAGGCACCACTGGTGTGGCCTGCATGTGAAGACAGCTGCCATCTGTGCTTTGGCCATAAGAGGGTAGAGGCTTCTGTCATAATTCCACAGTGCAGAGGGAGAGGCATCGCTGGGCTCCTGAGGAGCATTGCGCTGGACAAAGGGGCACAGAGATTTGGCCTACTCTGTCCACTTCACGCTGTGACACTGTCTTCCCTCTGCCCCTCCCCATCCCAGCCGCCTCCATTCCAACCATCTGTACTGTGACTGTCACCTGGCCTGGCTCTCGGATTGGCTGCGGCAACGACGGACGATTGGCCAATTCACACTCTGCATGGCTCCTGTGCACCTGAGGGGCTTCAACGTGGCGGATGTGCAGAAGAAAGAGTACGTGTGCCCAGGTAAGGCCACCCACCACTACCACCGTTCTGTGCCTCGTCCACCATGAGTTCACCCCCCAGCCCAGAGGTTGGTGTGGAACCTCATGGGTCACCCCAGCACTCCATAGTCACTTAAAGAACTCTGGAGGGCCTGAGGGATTCAACGAAAGAAGCTCCTGTCATCTGGTACAGGAAAGTGCTCAAGGAACTTGTGAGTCACTTTCTGTTAAGCCCCATAACCCATCAGTGCTAAAAAAATTAACATTTGTCAGGCACTTTAGCATTTGCTAAACACTCTCCTATCATCCAGTTGCTCACAGAAATTGGGGGACAGGCTAAGGAAGGCTGTGGGGTCAGCTGGCTTGGCTGGAAATCCTGGCTGTGCCCCTTGGTAATGTGTGACTGGCAAGTTGCCACATGTCTACAAAATGGAAATAATCTTTGTACATTACTCAAAGGATGGGTGGGAGGATTAAATGAAAAAAGTGCATAGAAAGCACTTGGTAAGAGCTAATAAGTAGAGCTTAATTATTATAGTTTAGTGGGCCCACAAAATGTGCTGAACAACCATAAGAGTTTGATCTGTGGGTAACTGAAGTGTAACAGAAGTGCAGATTGCCAACATACTACAGAAAACAGAAGTGTACACAGACATAAGTGAAGGTGGCTCAGCTCTCCAGAGATGGAAGGTGGTCAGAGGACACTGGAGCTCTTAAACCAAGCCCTAAATTTGCCTGCTCATTTGTTCTTACTTTTCATTGACATCTTCCACTACTACCAATCCTTCCTTTTCTTGTGGTAAAGCTGATCCCTGCATGCAGGGAAGACAAGGGCAACAGGGAGCTTAGCACTGCTGGAGGCTGCACACCTTATCCTTCCTGCCTGTGGCTGGTTTCAGTACTGGTTTATTTAGCCCCACAGTGCTGCGGCCCGACATAGCTAGTGTGACATAGCTAGTTTGCCGATGGCCTCTTCTGTTCTTAGGCTGCATTTGCAACATAGAAGAATTTTACTTAAATTCACTTCATCCTGTTCTCTGCTTTCTCCCATCATGTTACTACTTTGTCAAGTTATTTATTTTCCAAAAATATTTTAACATGTCTCAGAGCAGCACCTCTATGATTTCCTATAGACGCCCACTTAGAAATCACTTCCCATCAAGCACATATAATAAAACCGTTTATCACACAGGCAGTATACTCAAATATAGTGACTATAATTACAGTAATTATTAGGCAAAGAGAACAATATTGGCATAAGAGTCAGTGAAAGAAATAATTATAGAGTGCAGGAGTCATCCAAGAGCTAGTGGGAAAAATGAATTAGAGAGAATGTTAAAACACATCATTATAGGTGAGTGCCAGGTTTAACACTACACTCAAATACACATACCACTTCATCAGAAAAGCATGTTCCTGTCAAAGGAATGGCAAGACATTGCTTACCCCAGAGCAGTCAGGACCCAGGGTCCAAGGGCGTCGGGCTGACCAGCCCAGGTCCCAGAATGCTAGGGCCCCAGGTCTGCCTCTTTGAAAAGCCTAGATATGGCGGATGGTACACTAGTCACGCAGGAGCATCCCCGTCGCCTCCCTGTTCCTATCCATTTGGCCCATTGCTTGCGAGCACCTTGTAGCTTCTTCTTACAAAGCCAGCATCTTTTGAGGACAGAAAAATTTAGTCCACAGACTCCAGACATGAATATATAGTTAATCCCCACCCTATTACTAGTAGTACAAATTTAGGAGAGCAACACATTAGAACTCCTATGTGTGAGAGACTCTTTAGATGCCTTACCAGGCTTCCCTGGGTTAAAGATAGAATGCTATGTGGGGTTGCCTTCTGAAAGTGCTAAGTTGGCTGCAGTGGTCTGTCTGGGGGAACTGGTGAACTGGACATCCAGGACAAATGAAACACTATCCTCATTAGTGGGGTGCAGGAGGAGCAACCCTTTAATAATTGTTGCAAGTAGTTTCCGGAACTGTGATAAGAAGAGGCCAGCAGAAGTAGCATGGAGCAAGATTCAGGCTGTGCACATGTCCTGAGCATCCCACCTACATACCCACCGCGGGGGTGGGGGGCATGCCTGCCCCATGGCAGAGCCCATCAGGGCCTCTGAGCGAAGCCCATCTGTAGGGACCTGACTGTGGTTGTTTCCGGCTGCAAAACCACCAGTGCTCCTTGTTCGAGCTGGTCCCAGTAACTCACAGGAGAAGGAGTCCAGTCAAGCAAGGAGGGGCAAGAACATCTCCTAAAAACCAGAGGTCATCTACTCAGGAGGAAGAAAGGCATGGGCCCCAGTTAAGCCATCCTGCTTGTAGCCTCATCACCCATGGACCCTGTCAAGGCAGCGTCAGAAAACCTCCCTGGGCCTTTCAATGGTATCAAAATATTCACCAAACGCAGGACTTCAGAGACAGAAAAGAGCCTTATCTCCCTCAGCCTGTGAAGACCCTGCCTGCCCAAGACCCTGATATCTCCTTTTGAATTAAAGCCAGTTGTCCGGAGACCAGCCTCTTCCACCCAGAAGCCCTGACTGGCTACAGGCTCCTTATCACTGGAGCTAACCCAGACATTAGCTAGCAGCGCCCTCTGGTAAATTCATCTCTGTCAACTGCACCCTTCCAAGTGAAGGCATTTATTTTCTTCCTCTAGGGAGACAACCAGAAATTTTTCACAAGAATTGGGGACTATATCTTTGTTTTATTGTTTATTCAAACTTTTTCTATAGTATACAACTGTATTGCTTGGTTTCCTTCAGCTACTGCTGAAATGATTTCTCTCGACTTTTCTTATTTCAAAAGGAAGGTTAGGGCCCTAGGACTCAAAGTATCTGTGGCCCCTGATACTTGTTGCTTGACCCAGACTGGGACTTTATTCAAGTTCAAGGTAACAGACCAGAGAAAAGGTTCTACTTTGGCCACTACTCAGCTTGCGTTATGTGAGTTGCAATCTTTTTTTCCCCCATCCTTACCTAAGGGGCTTATTTTGGGAACTAAACTCTAAGATTTATCGTCTATGTGTCAACTTTCTAGTACCTTAATCTGAGAAAGTTTCTACCAGTCACAGTTTGTAAGTCAAGAGTATTAGTTAAATATTTGACTTCCTAAATTATCTCTTTCCTTTGAACATCTTTGAATTTATTGTTTCATCCACCCATTTCACACTTACCTGCCTGTAGCCTTTGAATGTGAAATATCCTTGTGTGAAGATTAGTCTTGTCCTCTAGAAGTAAGGGCCATGGCTTAACATTTTTTCAGGTGCCCCAGTGCCTAGAACTGTCATTGATCCTAGTATCCTCTCAACAAATACTACCTCATTTATTATTAGAATTGAAATAGACGTATCTCCCTGGAAACAAGAAACTCTCCTTCTTCCCTCCCCCCCACTTTTTTTTTTTAATTTGGGACTAGTTACCAAGTATAAAGATAATTAAGGTAAACCATGATGAGCCGCCCATCTCCTTAGGAGGTTTTAATTAAAACACCATAATTGGACATTGCAGGAATGAGATTATTAAGTTTATTTAGCCATTCCCAAAATTATCATGCCTCTGGTATTTAAATCACATTCATTTATATTCTTATCATAATTGCTCGAGCCCCATTGTCATTACAGACTGTTGTTGGCTTTTGAAAGGCCAGAGGCCAACAGGGATGCTTAATTTGAATACTGGAATTAATTTTCTTTCACATGCTCACAAGGCCATTGGATTTTTCAACTCTATGCGCTATACTGGGTGAAGTTCTCTGTAAAGACAGAAATAAACACAGCTCTAATGCAAGTGTGTCCCGCCATCTTCAGTGTAGCTTATACAATCCACGTCTCTGCCCCAAGCCACTTGGTCCCATCTCCCGAGATTCCAGGACCCTGATGGGTTTCAATTTCATGGCAGTAAAGAGCGGCATTTTGGTTGTATTTTCGACAGAGGATATAGTTAGGGAGCATTGGACCAAAATACAGACCTTTATTGTTCACTATGTCCATGATCTTGGCAGTTTGCTTAACTTCCCTATTATTTTGTGTCCTCATCAGTAATAATAATAATAGAACCTACATTGTGGGGTTTATGTGGATCAAATGAGATAATACAAACAAAGCACTTGGTGCCATATCTGGCACACAGGAAACATCCCATTCCATCCATGTCAGCTGCTATTCAGAGAATGACGGTCACTCTCAGTGTGGCCACCACTGTGTCCTCAGGTGAGGACTGTCCCCTCTTGAGGCTTCTGTTTCCTCACCATCTCCGTGGCCCTTTCTAGATCTAAAGTTTGGTGATTTTTGCCACACTCATTGGGGCAGGCAATGTAGGGCCTTTCATGTCAGCGTGATGATCGCCCCCAGTTGCCTACTGAGAGGCACCGAGGTGAGAAGGTGGCTGGGCAGGAGCCAGCCGCCCTGGCCATTGCTCCATCCTTCTTCCCGCTCAGAGCCAGAGGGGAACTGCACAGCCAGCAGAGACAGGGTAACCAGTAGACCATCCATGCTGGCAACCACAGGTGCTTCCCTGTGGGAGTCTGGCTCAGAAGGTACTCCTGCCCTCCGCTCCCTGGGGGCCCCCCATGGGCTGGAAGCAGCGACCCCGATGACCAGTGACAGGTATGGAAGGGCCAGCATCTCCCTTCCTGAGCCCTGCTGTGCCCTCCCTCAAGACCTCAGGCCACTGTCCCGGGAGTCTTAGGAGACATCAGGAGGCTGGACATCTAAGTTTCCTCCATGCTTAGCATGGAGATAGCTTTGGCATCAGATTGAAATTCCAGAACTGCAGTGATTAAGGAAAGGTGAGACAGGCCCCCGGTGGGGAGATAGGTGCTTGGCCCATGTGGCCTTGTCCCTGTTCAGGACAGGAATGTCCTTGCACCTCATGCAGCAGCATTTTAGTACCGCTGAAAGTATTCCAAGAGCAGATGGCTTGGGCACTTATTTCAAAATGATGAAATGAAGAACAAGTCCAGTGCACTCCTAAGTTTGTAATAGAACATCTTAGAAAATGGACAACAGGGATTCCACACGCTAGTCCACCACTACACTCCGGTTTAAGCCACTTTCCTTGCCAGAGAAAGGGGGAGGTAGTGCTAGTGGACAGGCTTTCTCAAGGGCAGTGAGGCTTCACAGGCCTGGGAGAACATGTGACTCAGCAGGCACACACATGCGCATGCAGGCACATACCCAGAGAGCCCCCTTCCCTCAAAGGTATGTGGGGACTCCTAGCCCAATATGGAAACTCTGTTCCCATTCCTCTCTGCTTCCCTGCTGGTATCATAGTCATATAATTTGCTGGAAAGAAAGGTAAATGTTTCCTTACTTTGTCCCTCTTGGAAATCTATTGCCCCCCAAACTACCCCACAATATGTGTGGAAAAAAGGGCTGAAGAGATGGATTTGCTGGCAGAATTCAGTGAGTACCTAGGGTACCCTTATCTGTGCAGGTGAGGTAGCTCAGAGGAAGCCCCAGGGGACTGGGCAGATGGCCTTTGCCAGCATCAACAGCTGTGGTAGAAAGATAGGAGTTTCAGGCATGTGAGTCTGGCTACCCATAGCCACATGATCTCCCCATGCTACGGCTGATCCCATCAACCAAAATCCAGGGCACACAGAACCAACGGGGCCTCCCCTCTGTGCCTTCCCAGAAAGATTGCTCACCTCTGTAGCCCGGTGACATTCAGCCCCCGTATCTGCCAGGCTTCTGGGCCACTTTCATTCACACATTCATTTATTGTGAATAAGGTTTGCTTATTGAGTCTGTGTTTTGCCTCAGACCCTGTTTTACGCACTGGGAATCTAACAGTGAATAAGCCAGAGAAGGCCACTGCCCTTGTAGAGTTTACATTTTAGTCCCAGTATGTCCAGAGACAGGGAGCAAAGGGGACTTCTTCCACCACAGCACTCAGAGCCCCAGAGGAAATGGGCTTGGTCCATCCAGCATTGATCAGAGGGAAAATGAACCTGTCTTTCAACCCCATTTTAAACCTCACATGTTTCATTTCAACAAGAGGGTAATGTCCTCACCGTGTGTGAATGCTGGGCTTGGGAGCCACCAGCTCAGGATGCTGACAGAGGCTATAATTACTGCTGTTTCTCACTGTGTAATTAAAGGTGTTGTTAGTGACCTGGTTAAGGAATCTTTTTCAAAGGCTTTTTTTTGCCTTGACAATGTCTGTTGAAATGTAACACACACTGCCTACAGAATCAGAGCCACCCTAGGAAAGACCCAGCTCATTCCCAGAGGGACTGAAGGCTACAACCTGGGTCTGTCTTAAACAGAATTCATTTCAGCATGGAAGTCAGAAGGGCCACCTTTGTAAAACCTCCACTTCAGAACTTTATGTTGCCCATATAAGCCCTTGAATAACATACCCCATCCAAGTAATATTCTGACAGATCAAAAGAGAGATGGCCATTGCTATCCTCTGCCTTAATAGACAGAAATGCAGGAGTTCAGACTCTAGCCCCTTGTGGATGCCCTGACATTTCCCACACAGGAAGGTGCCCCAGGTGCAGGGAGACTCCCTGGCTTGTCAGGGGCACTTGCCCCTGAAGTGGAGGGCCAGGCATGGCAATTTTCTTTGAGGAACACCATTTGCACTTGAAAAGCCCTGACATCTGAAGCCATACTGCTCCCAGCCTTCCCCAGATGTGGGTGAGGGGGTGGGAGCCCTTCAGGCTGTAGATCCTCTGTGCCACCTACAAAGAGATAGAGCAGAGCCAGGGGATGGTGCTCTTAGGCGTCTTACTCCTACTTCCATTCTTCTGAAGAGCAGGGGCAATCAACCTTTAGACCCAGAAAGGTCTTCAGAAGTCATGCAATCCAAACTCCTTATTGATGGTAGCAGAAAAGCTCAGAGGGGGTGCTGTGACTTGCCCAAAGTGTCAGAGCCAGACCCAGTAATCGTAACAATAACAACAACTAACATTACTAAGCTCTTACTCTGTCCCATGCACTCTTCTAAATACCTCAGAGGCATTAACTTCCTTTGCTTCCACAACAAAACCATGGTATGAAATACATATTGCTACATTCTCCCATTTTACAAATGGGGAAAAGTGAGGCCCAGGGATAGAAGAATGAAATGACAGAACCAGGATTTGCACTGAGGCAACGGGAGACCAGAGCGTACACTCACAGCCCTAACACTCTCATTTCTGACCCAAGGCTCCTACAGGCTGGTTCTCAGGGGTTGCTGTTTTCTCAGGAATGGAAAGACTTGGCCAGATTGGAAGAAAGCCAGTATCACCTCTCTCTCTACGAGAATGTTCCAGTTGCAGATTTTAGTGTTCATCATCATCTCTGGCATTTTCCATGGTTTCCATTTGATCCACTAGTGTGACCCTAGAGAGTTTGAAGTCTTTGGAACCTAGACAGGAATATTTTCTCAAATGTCCCAACCAAGGGGATGTTTTTCAGTTTCTGGGGTAGGAGGGAGGGTGATGAGTGTGTGATGCAGCTGAGGCCAAGGGAAGTAAGAATCTTTGATCACTGGGTTGGCACTTTCTGGCAAGGCAAATATTCCAAATTAAGCCACTGACATCACTGGAGCCCTTGTGGAAGGACTTCCCCCAGGCTTGGGGACTATCTAATGTGGATAGGGACCTACCACTTTAAGTCTCACTCAGTGTCTGAAAGAGAACATGCCCCAAGCCCAGGTGGTCCTCTGATTCAGCCACTGTAGCTAGATTTGCTCTGGCTTCCCAGATTCAGCATTCCCAGAGCTCAGGGTCCCCCTATCAAAATCACTTTTCCCCTGCAGACATTTTCCATGTTTCGTGTTTAATCTCCCTCTAAGAGCGCCCCACCAGAAGTTCCATGTCTGAGCAGTGAGGAGGTCTGCAGAGGTAGCCTGAGTGTGGTCTCAGTCCTGGCTGGCTAGATCCAGCAGGTGTGGGATAAGATTCTGAAAGGGCCACTGGGTCGAGTTTATCTTTGGACCACAAGGTCCACATTTGAAAAACTAACCACAGGTTTGACTGTCAACTCACTTTGAAGAAGTAGGTAATGACTTTAAACTTTTATAATGACTTTAAAATGTTTGAAGTTACTTCTTGTATTAGAGACTTGATGTCACCACCAGAGGAAGTGATTAAGATCCTTGTGACTCTTTGAACCCTGAGTTAGTTTGCTAATGTGTATGTTTATCTACATTTCACTTTCTAAGCAAGCTCCTTGGATATCATTTTCTTAGGTTTTTACCATTTTGCTTTAAATTAAAACTGGTTTCTCACCTCAAAAAAAATTAAGAACTGACTCCAAAGTATGTAGTAATTTATTTGTCCTTTTTTCTAATGAGATAAATTGTGTTTTCACATTCTCTGGACATAGAAGCTGATTGAAAATGCCTTGGATGTCACTGCTGATGACTGTATTGACACTTGGACAACTTCTGTGCCCCAAAAAGGGAAATTCTGCTGCCTTTTTTCCTCCCACCTGGTTTTGGTAGTAACTTTGAGAGAAAGGAATGAAAGCATGTCTACACTCCGCAGCCAGCACCCAGATAAAAGCCTAAAGCTCCAGGGTGTCATCGGACACCTGGCGCCCTGAAAGTGGCCCCATTTTATGCTCTTTGCATTCCAGAGGCATATTTTCATGGATGTCTGAGTGCAACTTTTTCTCTGAAAGACTAAAAGGGATGACAGAGCAGTTGGAACAATCCAGAAATAGGTCAAAGTCAGAATCTTTCCTCTTGGCTGAGTATGTAGCCAGTGGCAGGTGGGTGTCCCAGATGAGGGAAGGTGTCAGTGGGTGATAATTTCTCAGGTAGCTTATCAGGTAGTGCTGCCTCCTTGGAAAGCTGCTTATGGGGGACCCAGAAGCTCAGGTGGCTCCTGACACTGACATGGGTTGACCATTGTGTTCTGGCCCCACAGGCCCCCATTCAGAGCCTCCATCCTGCAGTGCCAGCTCCATCTCCTGCCCTTCAGCCTGCACTTGCAGTAATAACATCGTGGACTGTCGAGGGAAGGGCTTGACTGAGATCCCCGCCAACTTGCCAGAGGGCATCATCGAAATGTAAGTGCCCCATCTGCCACCCTCTCTCCCTGGCCAGTGCGCTTCTCTGTCTCAGCCAATCCCCCAGGAGGCTGGCAGCATATTGGGCTGTTAGAGCTGACTGTTAAAAACACTCAGCAATCTCTGTGCTGTCCTTCAAGGCTTTCCCAGGTATGAGAGCTCAGTAGTCAAGAGCATAGCCTCTACAGCCCAGTCAGCAAACTACAGCCTGTGGGCCAAATATACCACCACCTATCTTTACAAATAAAGTTGTATTGGAACACATTCACACTTACTTGTTTATGTATTATCCTTGGCTGTTCTCCCAAGGCAGTACTGAGCAGTCATGACTTTGGCCCACCAAGCCTGAAATGGTTTTATCTTTAAGGCCCCTTAAGTTTGCCAGTTTCCAATCTGTGGTGATATCCTGGCTCTACCATCTACTAACTGTGCAAGCTTGGGCAAAATAACTGTTCTCTTTCATCTCTAGTTTTCTCATTTATAATAATGTGATAATTATAGTATTCTCAATAGGTCATTGTGAAAAATAAATGAAATGCTGCATGTAAGCACTGAATACGGTCCTTGGCATGTGGGCAAGTACTCTATAAAATAGTGGCAGTGCAAAGTGTATGAATGATGAACTGATTGCACAGCTATAGTTACCATTATCTGAGCAGGAGGCTGAATTCTTAATCATTTCAAATCAGATTGTTGTCCTCCAGATTATATCCGTAGGTGAAGAGACAAGATTGTGTATACCTATGTGTGTGCACAGATGTCTAGAATTCCAGTAAAACTTGTCCACATAGCTCAGTCTTGTCCTCTCTTCCCTCATACATTAGAAAATGGCCAGCATCTCATTCTGGATTAGGGTCAGTCAACACTGACCTCAAGATCACTTTAAATGACAATAATTTCTTTCATTTTCTGCCTTCACATCAGGTGGTTTTATTCAAAACATGATTAGATGGAACCCTCCCACTGAAATCATCACTAGATAAAATTCCTCCAAGTAAAAACACATTTCCCTTGCTTGTCTGCCTCATCTCCTCCTCCTCCTCCCATGAATGCCCTCTGTTCCTACTGCATTCTAATAGATGTCCCATTGACTTTTCATTCATTCATGCATTCATTCAGCAATGTCTGTGGTAAGCCCACTGTGTTCCAGTCATTGTTCTGTGCTTGAAGAGCATCAGTGAACAAAACAGATAAAATTTCTGGCTTTATGTCACTTGCATTCTATTTGTGGGGTGGGAGTAGGGAGTGGTGGTGGAGTGCAATAAACAAAACAAAGTGAATTAGATAATATGAAAGAAGGTGGTAGGTTCTGTGGAGAAAAACAAAGCAAATGAAAGAAAGAAAAGTGAATATCTAGAAGAAGAGTATTGCAGATAGGGGGAACAGTATGTGCAAAGGTCCTGAGGTAGGAATGCATGTGATATACCAGGAGGCCAGTGTGGCTGGAGCAGAGTAAACACAATGGAAAGTGTTAGGGGATAAGGAGAGGGGAGTAGGGAGTGGCCAGAGCATTAGGACATTTTAAGGACTTTGGTTTCACTCAAATTGAAAATAAGAAACATTATTTGCACTAGTGAAGCCTTGGTTTCCTCTTTCTTCATCTGCTTTGCCAGCTTTTCTCTGATTCCCTTTAAAACCTTCTTCCCCAGCCCCAGTGAACACCATCCATGTCTCCACAGCCCTCCTGCAGGGAGGAGGCCGTCAGGGACGTGGCCTGCAGCCTGACCGCCCTGCCTTCAGTGGGCTGCATCCATGGTCACTCAGCCCTCAGGTTTCAGCAAGTACCAACAACTAGCTCCCTTCCTGTTTTACTGTGCCTCTCCCTCGCTGCTCGTGGTCCACTATATTCCAGCGCAGAGATCCCTCCTTCCATGGAATCCACATGGGCCTCACTACCTCTCCCTCTCATGCCCTTGTTTCCCTCCTTCCACCATTTCTCCTAATTCCTGTCCTCACTGTCATCCCTTTCTGCACTGTTTCCCCTTCTCTTTTTCTCCCCCCACTTGATTCCTTTTCCCCCTCTTGCCCTCTCCCCTCTGATGCTCTTCTCACTTCCCACCCTGTCTCTGCCTCTACCCACCTAACCCTTTGCTCCTCACCATACGAGCCCCTGCCTTCCCTCCTCATCCACGCTGGGGGTAGGACTGTGGCCCCCCAAGATAGGCATTCAAGACAGAAGTCCTGCCCACAGTCGTCTCCTTTCAGAGTCCTGCAGAGCTGGTTTGCTTTCTCTGCCCCACTTCCTTCCTTTCTCCCTCCTTCCATCAGACTTTATCCTGTTTCTTTGGTCTCAAAGCCTGATGAAGGAGGCCAGTCTAGTACCCAGATGGCAACCATTGCACCCCCATCCCTGACTCAGAAGCTCTGGGCCTGCCCACATCTCTGCACCTCCAACTGGGGCCTCACAGGCACACAGCTCTGGTGTCTGGGAGGGAGACTTTGCAGATATTCACTGCAGGGGAGGGCCCCACGTGGGTCACACATGGGCATCGACTTTTAAAAGGGACATTGGCAAGCTAGAGCAGGGATTCCTGAAAGGCTGACTGATTATCACTGAGTTTTTCCTAATATGAGGTAAAGTGAGAAAAACAACAGAGTGTCCTTTATTTTAAATTCCTGGACTTCCTTGTTCTGTTACTGTTGTTATGTAAAATGCCCCTTCATTTTATAAAATGATGGTCCCTGCAGGCAGAATATGTGTGTTGTGATAAATACATGTTAAGTTACATATGTAATTATAGAATTACATGTCTATGTATAAATATATATTATGCATAACACATGCATAGATGGTCTAAATTGGCAAAATGAGAAATCTGTAACCACCTAGTCTATGAAACCTAAAAGTCCAGACACGAGCAACCTAGCTAGATGCTTCTAGAAAAAAACAGCCACCAACAACAACTAGGTTCTCAAGAGTACAGACCGTGGATTCAGGCAGAGCCACATTCTAGCTCCAGCCCTGCCGTTTAACCATTGGCAAATAACTTTTCTGAGTCCTCATTTCCTCAGCTGAAAAATACAAAGGCTAACAGTACCTTCTTAATGGTTCATGTGAAAATTAAATGAACATATACTGTCAAATGCTTAGCATTGTGTCTGGCACATGGGATCTGTCATGTCAGCAATTATTGCTGTTATTTGACGACTACCACTAGTAATCCCACCACCGCCGCCACCACCATCACCACTAGGCATGGGGAGGAGGCTTAGAAAACAAAGTGTAGCAGATGAGGCTGCCTGAGTAAGAGACCCCTCCCTAAAGCAGGTCTGTCCTTTGAAGGTTGAGAGGACAAGTTCAAGCCTGCATTAGGACTTGAGCCGGGCATCAGCTCATCGTCATGCAAATATATGCACCAGCGGGACCAGGCCGCCCCTGTTCCCCTAGCCCCCACGGCCCCCCAGACAGATTGCCCAGGTCGGCTCTCACTGCACCTGCCTCCTTCAACTCCATGATGAAATGAAACTGAGACATTAAAAGCAGATGAGGCAAGACTGCCTGGTTAGGAGGGTACAGGGAGAGGAGGCATGTATGAGTGAACTTTGAGGAGGAAGCCTGCTTGTTCTTAAGGCAACAAAGCCTGTGCCTGGGGACCTGTGTGTTAGCCTAAAAGTCTTTCAAGCAGCTGAAACATATCCTCTTAGCAGTGAGAGAAAACCAACAGATGGAGGGTTTGAAAGATGAGAAAGAGGGAGTGGAGAGTTGAAACTGCAGGACTGCACCCCAGAATGAATAGGAAATGTCTGATTTATCATCCTGAAGACATCTGACTGTGATTTTTTTCATTTTATTATTGAGAATTCCACCTGGTGTCCATGGCCACCTACATAATCCAGATCTCTCCTTTCTCCTTGGGGATGCTTGGCACCATGACTGGCTCTCTCCTCCCTGTACTCAATCCCTAGCTGGCAGTGATGCTTTTAAACCTTGGGAGGGGTTCTGCTCTCCCCAGCATTTGGGGGAAGGAAGGCTATTGCTCATGCAAAGCGATTTGGCAGACCATTTCTTTCAAAGCCAAAGCAGCTCAGAAGAGTGTGTGCTGGTCTCCCCACATAGCAGAGCCAATTCCCATAAAAATAGCTTTCTTCCAGAGAGCCCCCAGTGAAGCCATTCACTACAGATTTTCCTCGAAACTGAGCTCCCCCCAGCCACACCATTCTTGGTGCTCCTTGTCATTTCTCTGAGCCAGCTCTGGCCCCCAGCCAGAGAGACTCGGGGAGGAGTCAGAGCACAGGCTCCTCTGTTCTGTGATTCTCAGTCTGCTCTCTTGTGTCCTCGGGGCTCAAGAAAGACCCTCTGTCCCTGAGCCTCATCTTAGTCTCTGTCCCACTGTCTTCTGTTTTCATTCTCTACCCCCACATCGGGCCATCCAGGGTCTCCTGCCCTCTGATACAGCAGGTGAACTCAGGTGATGGGGAAAGGCTGCAGGCGGGCTTAATGTCAATCATAAGTGCAGGTATCAAGGGGAAAAGGTAGCCAACTTCAATCCCATTGTACAGCTGTGGTGAAGAGATAAATAGTGGTTTATCTGCTTAATAAAGCAGATATTCCCCCACTACACTTGTCACCTGGGGATGCAAAAAAAGAGAACTAAAAACACACAACGGCAGCCAACAAACAAAAGGGCTCTGGAATTCACCAACATCCATAATTCTTAAAACATTCTGAGAGCACCAGGTTTCTGCAGGACTGCCCCATGGAGGGAGGGGAGGTGGGTGGGGTAGGGGCAAGTGGTATCAGGGGGAAGCTCATGAGGCAGCAGCAGAATTAAGAACAGAGCCTTGGGATAAAGTGTCCCATGTTTGAATGCCGGTTTTGCTTCTTTGGGACCTTTCCTAACATTTCCAGTCTCACTCAGTTTTACCCCTTTGCAAAATGGGGCTCATCATACCTACTAGAGATTTTTCATGAAGATTAACAACATAATTGTGTAGAAAATTAGCACATTTGGAAGTCATGAAATGGAATCTAAAAAGAAAAACTTTGCAAATGTCACATACGTGACATGATAGAATGATTTAGTCTCAAATCCCCATACTACATTCATTTTTTTTCCCTTAGATGATAAATATTGCTCTGTTTGGAGGCATCTGGGCATATATGCATATAATAAGAGGAAGTCTTACTCTGTGTCTGTACCTCTTTTCTCTGTAGATAATGCCGTATATTCTGCAGAGTGGGTTAGGAATGACTCATGTCGCATATGCACATTCCTCAACTTTGTTGTTATTATATTAATATTACTACTTGCTCTGTCATACTCTTGAAGGAATAACATGGGCCAGTATGGAAAGAGCACAGTGTCTGACATATAAAAATCCCTCAATACGTGGTGGATGTTCATCATTATTGGCACCTCAACCACACCACCACCAGTATTCCGACCCAGCTTCAGAACCTCTTGATCGGGTGACTTGCAGTGGGGCCCCTGCACTATCCGTGCCCCGGCCAGCCTCCCTGGCATCATGTTGGCTTATGTTTTACTAGAAATATGCTATGTCCAGTCGCACGTTTGCAAATGACACATCACCAAGGAAGCACCGAGGAACTAGGGCGAATCAATACAGAGCGCAAATGGCTGAAATCCCCATCAGATGTTCCATTGTTTCTACTGATGCTGAAGATACTCAGATGTTTGATTTGTATGTTTATTTTTATGCTAGTTTTAGTAAATCAGTTTGCAGCCTGCAGAATGTTTGCCAAAGAAAGACACATGTACCAGTTAGGAGGGACCTAGAACAGCTTTGGCTTCAGACATATCCCTAACTGTGACAGTTTTTGCCAATGCTAATGCTTCTTTTTGTCCTTCACACTGAATTTTTGTCACTGGTAGTATGGATCTTGGCAGGCTTGTTCCAGGCTGTGTAAAACCTACCTGGAGCTACCTGCTGGTTAGAGACTTTGCAGGTGCACACACACTCCAGCCTCGCTCCCTAAAGGGGGGTCATGTCCCTGAGGGTGGCCTGGCAGTAACTAAATAATGGAGATAACTCAGCTCCAAAGAGTTTTTCAACAAAGCCCAGTGATTGAGAGTTTAGGCTTGCAAATTGGATGAACTTCAGTTTGAATCCCAGCTATAGCTCTTCCTGGCTTTGTGAATTTGCTAAGTGACTTAACATCTCTAAGCCTCAATTTTCTCATGTTCAAAGTGGGGATGGTAATAACAAATAGGATCTGCCTCTTAGAGATGTCAATATTAAGTTAGACAAACCAAGTAAAGTAGCCTAATGTCTGATTTATAAGCACCTGATGCCTATTAGGTGTTGTTATTATTCCCACCCTTACCTCTACTTTACATTGGAAGTACCCTGACGATTTACAGCTCCATTAAGGGTGGATGTCCAACCAACATCCACAGCAGCATAAGTAGAGAGGCTACAGAGACAAAGGCCATCCCCAGAGTGAGCAAGTCTGAGGCATGTAGGATGCACAGCAATATCCCTGCCAGGTGAACAGAATGAGATTGGAATTCTTTGTTCAAGGCCACACCTTCGTACTCTGCATATTATGTGTGTGTATGTGTGTGTGCAACGCATCTATATTACATGCTCTCTCAACTCCTAACACCTTTTGACAAAATGCCTACTTCTGCAGAGGCTGCTTGATGTCTTAGAATAACCCCTTAAACTTTACTCTGACTTTGGGAAAGCTACTTTAGTCTCTGGGACTCAGTTTCTCCACTTCCAAAAAGAGAGAGGCATTGTGCCCACTGGACAGAAACAGAGAGATGGCAGTTCTGCCACTACTAGCTCTGTCGCATTGGACAAGCCATTTGATCCCTCTAGGTGTTATTTTCCTCATTCACCAAAGGGGGCCAACACAGTTTGCCTCAGAAGTGTAAGGATTAAAAGAGATAATAGTAAATAAACTCCATAAAGAGAGCTTTCCTTGTTTATTATGTTAGCAAGAAAACTTGGTTCTGTGATACAGCATCTTGTGCTGGTCTTATCACCTGATTATTCAACTCCCTGGGGATGGGTATCGTGTTCTGCTCACAGAATCATCCCTCCCTTAGCTCTTGTACCCATGACTAACGTGGAGGTGGATTATGCAGTGCACAGACAGCTGGCTGACCTTACACCCGGTGCTGAGCTGACCTGCACGGGCTCTTGGCCTGCAGCTGGGAGCTGTGGAGCTTCTTACAAAAGCTGAAGGGGTTGCCATCGTTACAGACAGTGTCTCTCTAGAGGGGCATCACCCAGCCACAGTCCTTTGCCAAAGCAGCAGCTGAATCACAGGATTCCTGGAGAGCATTTGCCACCTGACTGGCAGCCCCAGAGACCCAGGGAGCTGCTGCCTTGGCGGACAAATCCCTGCTGAAGTCTACTTAGCTGAACCATCCTTGGAATTTCGCAGTCAAGGCAGCCTGGCCCGAGTCAGCTGCCTCTGCAGGTGGCTGTATCCAGCGGCCCATGGGCTCTGAGACCTCGTGGCCTGCCTTTTCACTGTGAGCCAGCCAGGCTGTGCAGCCAGCCTGTGCCCATGTGCCTGGCAGAGCACACTCCCCACCCGGTTCAGCAGGCTGCAAAGGCTTTCCTAATAGACCGTGGCAGTCTCGTTTGTAGACTCCATTCATCCAGCAGCCAAGAACGATCTGTCCTGACGCTCCCTGTCTCCTCTCACCCGTCCCTCCTCTCCCCCGCCCCCCACCTCCTTGGCCTGGAGGGTGATTTGTCTGTGTTATGCGTAGGCCTGACAAACCATTCCACATTAGCAGCTGAGATGTTGTTTGAAATGGGAAAATTGCTGGCAAACTGCTCCATTAGCGCTTCCAGTAACAAATACTCTCTTCCCCCAATGAAGATGAGATCGCAGAGGCACAAATTAATACGACTGTCTCCCCCACTCTGCAGTGGGGATTACTCTTCGAGATGAATGGGTTCATCCAAGCCAGAAATGTGCATCCACCAGACATAGCCTGCGAGGAAGCCGGTTCCACCCATCTACTCCTCCCACTCCTCTGCCCCATCCCTCCCCCGACACACCTTTTTGTGTGTCTTCCCAGCTGAGGGTTTGGGGAACATCCATGCCAAATGAGGCGTTGATGAAAGAGCCTCACCTTTGAGAAAGGGAGATGAATGAGGAGAAGATGCTGTGTCCTCAGCCTGGGCCCAGGGCGCCATTCATCACCTCTAATAGAGGGCCCCCGCTCATGCCTGCTTCCCTCCACACCTGTTCCTGGTGATGGGAAGTCATTTGTGAGGTGAAAGCATAAAGGATGGAAATGCTCACTCACTCACTCCCCACAGCCCCTTCTCTTCCAAGAAGCTCTGGGCCCTGGGCCTGCAGCATATCTTATTCTTTCCAGAGTAATAGGAGAGGAGGCATTTCAGGAAAGTCCTTAAGATGGCAAAGCCACCGATGCAGCAGCAGCCTCGGGGAGTGGTCAAGCTGCGCCCTGGGAGCCCTCAGGATGTCAGGGAGACAACTGGACGCATGACAAGCGGGGGGCCTAGGGACTTGAGGGCTATTTCCCCACCATATGAGAACAGCTAACTGCAAGACCCAGAAACAAGTGGTGAATCATCACGTAGACCTGCAACTAATATGTTATATGTCACTTATACCACAATAAAAGATAAAAACCCAAAAATGAAGTCAGCCACCATTGGTTCTGCCTGTATGGTACCCCAGGAGCAGTGTGGGTGAGTTTTTAACTGAATAGTGACATGACAGAGTCCACAACTTTTTACTCTTCCTTTTCCTCATCCATTTGCCTTTTTCAGCTTATTTTGGAAGAAGACAGCTGCTTCCAAAAGTAGCTCATAATAAACCAGAGCCAGAAATCCTCAAGGAGAAGTTCTCTTCTCTAGCTTTCTCCATGAGGAGTTAGACCCTGGGGTGGGTGCTCCATACACTACAGCATGAGTCTCTGGCTTCTGCACAGTATCTGCCCCATGTCCCTTAACCAAGAAAGTGTGCCCTGTCCTCAAGGCCTTCTGCAACCACTTGTTGCCTGGTGGACAGCTAATCGACCCTTCTCTGTTTCTCAGACGCCTGGAACAGAACTCCATCAGGTCCATCCCCACCGGAGCCTTCACCCAGTACAAGAAACTGAAGCGAATGTGAGTTTCCCCTGGGAAGAAATGAGCCCAAATCTTTCAGTCTTGGGGGGAATGTGTCATGTAGGAGGCACCCTGCCCAGATGGCAGCCCCCATCACATCCCTGCTGGAGAGTTCAGTGTCAGACCAGGAGTGCTCAGCAGAGATCAGGGGTCAGGTTCAGAAGTGCTGCCCTCACTGGAGAGGCGTATGGGTTTAGACCCTTCAGAGCTAAGGGCTATCCAACCAGACCAAAATGAAATCACCTGGGTGAGAGGGGCAGCTGGTTGGCTGAAAAACCCCATATGACCATTTTCATTGTCCCCTGGCTTTGGTGATACGGACCTAAAGTAGGAATTTCAGTAGAGATGTGACAGTGGCCCTGTGTCATTCCACAGCACTGTCACCAAAGTCCCTGCAACCATGCACACACTCATCTGAGAAACAGTGCTGTGTATTCTGTGCAAGGGACAGTGCGAGGATCCATGGATCAAGGGGTGCGCCCAAACGAGGCTGTTCCCATGGCGCTTACATGTCCAAGTGAGAGAACAGAAAGAAGTAAATATCAGGAACTGATAGGGACCCAAAAGTAAAACAAAGGAAGGGAAGGGGGCAGAAGGTGATGCGGGGAGGTATTACAGGTGGGTTTGCCCATGAGAGCCCCACATGCAGGTGACTGGAATGAAGGGCACCAGTGCCCCGAGTCACTCTCAGGGAGAAGCCCATGCAAGGCAGTGGGCGCATGGACAGGTGGCACAACAGTAAGGAGCTAACGAGTGGGAGGAAAGCTCTGGAGAGGTGGGTATGGGCCAGATCCTGTGGGCTCATGAGGCTGCGTGAGGACTTCCTGTTCTTTCTGAGTAAGGTAAGAAGCTTTGGGGCCTCCCTGATCCTCCAACAAATGACTTGTCCACAATTGTTCCCAACCTCCCCTTGCCTCTATATCCATCGCACTGCCGCCACCCCATGCTGTCCACACCCGGTGCACCAACACTGCTGGCCCCTCCCTACCACTGCGCCCCTGAGGGTGTCGGCACACCAGGGCCCTCATCCCCACTGTGGCAACATCACACCACCACCCCTGCCCATAACGTGACCTGCCCGGGAGCACCGCTCCGTGAGTCACCGAGAGCAGGCTGCTCTGAAGGGAAGTCTGTAGAATTCAGAAACGCCTGGCTGTTACCACAGTTGATATGAAGAGTCTGGGAGGCAGATTCCTTTCCTGTTCCCAGGCTAAGAAATGGTGTATTAGAGCCCAATAATCAAGAGGCTTTTCTCATCCCAGTTACTTTCTCTCTCTGCCCCCCCCTCCACAGGAAAGAGAGGGAGCAGGTAGAAAGACGCATGAAATCAGTCTTGTTCCCTCCACTGGAGGCTGATTCCTCGGTTTCCCTTGAGTAGGAGGGACTACATTAAGGAGGTTAACTATCTGCTGACTCCTTTTATGTGAAAAGTAAATATCCCCACAAAACAGTGATGTTGGTAGGCTTTACCCTTGGATCTCAGGAAGCCAGCTTCCCCTCTCCCTGGAAATCCAAACCAAACAAGAATTTCTCCTGGTACAATTCCAGAAGTAGAAACCACCATAATGAGCCGGCCCTGAGCACGGCAGCTTCCCTTCCCTTGGCAGCATTCTTGCTGGAGGAGCTGTATAAATATAGGCCTTAATATTTAAAACCTTGGGCTGTTAATCTCCTGCCTCCCCAAGCTCATTCTCCATACCTGCCCCCAACCAATTCATTTTTAAAGCCCAGCTTGATTATGCAGCCAGATAGTAATTTCAGTGACAAATGACAAGTTCAGTTACTGCCCCAACCTACATCTCTTGCATGATTTAAGTTACTGCTCTAATTTTTTGCAAAGTCCAGGTAATTTAGAGCTTGGCGGTGTTTTACTGTCCTTTCTCCATCCCATTGGGGTTGCCATGATCTGCACATTCAAAATTCAAGAGACCTTCTCAGTCACGACCTGAGAAGTGAATTTAATTTTTGATCACTTCTGATGATGCTATTGATATTTATTATGATGCCCTTTTTTCCCCAAGGGGATGGTGGTAGAGAAGAGAGACCACTTAAAAAATTTTTCCAACTCACAGAATTTCAGAAACCCAGACTGAAGTGCAGTGGCTGGGGAGAAGGAGGGTCCCTGGTGAGAATGGATCTTGAAACCTCAAGTGTGAATTCCTCCCAGGTGTACGTGGCCAGTTTATCTCTAATCTCTAACAGAAAGAAGTATCTCCTCAACTGTAAATGAATCACATCATCCTCTTATCTCTAACAATTATTTTTTAATTCCCCCTTAATGAATGGCTTTGTCCCTACCTATTTCTAGTGGTGTATTTAGTATAAAAAATACTTGCTGGTAAGAGCTAGAATCAAGATAGAGAAGCCATTTGTAGGGGGAAGTAGAGACTAGAGAGGAGCTCTCGGTATTACAGGCTTGGTTAGGTGGCAATGCTGACATGTGAGGGCCAAACCTGTGTCATTTGGCCGGAGTGATGTGCTGGCTTCCTTCACTTTCCTGCTCTCAGACAGAGCGGTATTCCACATGCTCCCGCACTTCCCACTGCCTCACACGTATTCCCCTCTTGACCCTTGTAGGCACTGGAATTTGCCACCTCTGTTCGAAATAGTCTGGAAAGGCCACTCCCTATTGGGCGTCCAGTTTATAAGCCCCAAGGCAGTGGGGTGAGTCTGAGATTGACCAGATTCTAAAACGCTGGTAGCCTAAAATACAAGCAGGGACTACCTGCATGGGAATGGCTGGGACTTGTTACATATGCAGACTCCTGACTCCAGTTCCCCAGCCAGCCAAACCAGACTCTCTGTGGGTCATCCAATAAACACCCCAGTGAGGTCGGAGAACATCTGATGCCTGGCATCAGCCCTGGGACTGCCTGATGTGGACTGGGAGGGGTCACGCGTGAAGATGGGTGGGCAGTGGAAGCCCTCCCCTGCCGGCCTTCCTGTCCAGGGCCACTGCCTTCTGCATCCATCTAGTGAAGTAGAAGGAAGACCCGAGATGCCAACTCTGTACTTAAAGAGCCTCGCCTCTCAGGGCTACTGTTTCCTTCCTGCAGAGTTAAGAATTAAGATGAAGTGACCACCAGGATTAACTCCCACCTAAACCATCACTTCTGCAATTTCTACTCCCCATCATCTCCAAATCCACAAGGAATCTCACCTCATGCTATAGAGAGGGGTGCACCCAAAAGTTTAGTTGTGGACTGAATACCAGTTTGCCCTGACAAGGCTAAAGCATGGGACTTCCCCATTGGTCACAAAACTTCCTCTCACTTGCTAGAGGTCTAAGGACCTTGGAGGGACACCCCATGGTGGAAGTGGGTGGAAATCAAGCTCTCTCACTAGCCTGATCTGAGCACAGACCCTACATGCTTGCCTGAAATGCCTTGCCAGGCAGCTGCGCCAAGGGCAAGCAAGATTAGGATAATCCGGGGAATTTGCTTGTTAAGACCCTTATACAAAAATGGAGAGCTGAAGAAAAGCCTGGTGTAAGCTGATGCATTTTTTAGCACAATCTGTGGATTTGTTAGAGGCCATCTTGCCAGCGGAAAGGGTAAGCTCTACAGCTGTGCCTACAAAGCCTTAACCTCTGAAGTATCTTTTAACACACAGGCTTTGGAAATAGAGCAAAAGGAGCAGAGGCCCAGAGAAGGTGCTCATGTAGCCCTTTGAAGGCTATTAGAAGGAGGAGAGAACTAGGCCTGAGAATGGTGCTTAAGAGGCTGGGGGCCTGGGGTGTCTGGCCTTACTGGAGGCAATTGCTCAAGAATCTGCTTAGATGTGCCTTCTTCTTGATATTCCCTCATCTCCCCCTGTTGACCCTCCAAGACCCCAGCTCCTGATCTTCCACACAAAAGCAAAGACCCATTGATTTATTCTGTTAAAGAAGAAGGACCGGAGTGATTTGTTGTTGCTGCAAACTGGAGCATCTCCCCTTCCAGTGACAGGAGCCCAGAGGCCCTCCAGAGCTAATGACTCAAAGTCTTCTCCCTCAGTGATGTGCCATTAGCAAGAACTATAGGCCCGGAATCTCTGGGGCTCTGGAAAGCAGGTAGCCTCGTGGCTCTGAGGAGGAGCTGGCTCAGGGAGATGCCTGTGCACCACAAGGTCAGGTTGGCTGCCTACTGCACAGCATCCCTCTTGCTTAGGGCATCCCCCAGCCCTGGATATCACCGCCCTGGGTTTGCTCCTGTCTGAGGAGCACTGCCAGCGACAAGCTCCATTGCAGCCATCCCCTGAGGATCTCATGACGCACTTATATCACACAGCCTGGAGGATGCACCAAGCCAGACAGAGACTTAAATCACAGCTCAAAACTTCCTTTCAGGTCAGGAAGGCAAAGTCACTAGGGAGGTGAAATGACTCAGGACTTTTGGGGAGAAAAATAAGCCATTGCTGAGGCATGAAACAAAAAAAGTTGATGCTTACAGGAACACTGGCCTGCGTTTGGGTGATGCTCGTTTCTGCTTCATGTATGCTGTAAATGCTTGGTAACGTGACCTATATCAAGGCCCTAGTTTGACAGGTGCAGCTTTGCACCTTCAAAGCGAGGGCTCATGTATGCAAAGCCATATGTCAAAGTTAAGACGTCAGGGGTGAGCATCCTTTGAAAGTCAAGAAGAGTGATACAAATGTAGTATATTTTAGCATGAGGTAATTCAACTGAATGGTCATTTAGCCCCTTCTTCTGCACTGTGAATAACTAAGTTGATTGAGTGAGTGATTAATTCTCACCATTTTGAATACCTTAAATGCTTGATATGCACTTGGGAATGGCTGTAGCATGCCTTTGAGCTGTGTTCTTAGACTCTGCTGTTAATGTTTTTAGAGACATCAGCAAGAATCAGATATCGGACATCGCTCCAGATGCCTTCCAGGGTCTGAAATCAAGCTAATGACTCAAAGTCTTCTCCCTCAGTGATGTGCCATTAGCAAGAACTATAGGCCCGGAATCTCTGGGGCTCTGGAAAGCAGGTAGCCTCGTGGCTCTGAGGAGGAGCTGGCTCAGGGAGATGCCTGTGCACCACAAGGTCAGGTTGGCTGCCTACTGCACAGCATCCCTCTTGCTTAGGGCATCCCCCAGCCCTGGATATCACCGCCCTGGGTTTGCTCCTGTCTGAGGAGCACTGCCAGCGACAAGCTCCATTGCAGCCATCCCCTGAGGATCTCATGACGCACTTATATCACACAGCCTGGAGGATGCACCAAGCCAGACAGAGACTTAAATCACAGCTCAAAACTTCCTTTCAGGTCAGGAAGGCAAAGTCACTAGGGAGGTGAAATGACTCAGGACTTTTGGGGAGAAAAATAAGCCATTGCTGAGGCATGAAACAAAAAAAGTTGATGCTTACAGGAACACTGGCCTGCGTTTGGGTGATGCTCGTTTCTGCTTCATGTATGCTGTAAATGCTTGGTAACGTGACCTATATCAAGGCCCTAGTTTGACAGGTGCAGCTTTGCACCTTCAAAGCGAGGGCTCATGTATGCAAAGCCATATGTCAAAGTTAAGACGTCAGGGGTGAGCATCCTTTGAAAGTCAAGAAGAGTGATACAAATGTAGTATATTTTAGCATGAGGTAATTCAACTGAATGGTCATTTAGCCCCTTCTTCTGCACTGTGAATAACTAAGTTGATTGAGTGAGTGATTAATTCTCACCATTTTGAATACCTTAAATGCTTGATATGCACTTGGGAATGGCTGTAGCATGCCTTTGAGCTGTGTTCTTAGACTCTGCTGTTAATGTTTTTAGAGACATCAGCAAGAATCAGATATCGGACATCGCTCCAGATGCCTTCCAGGGTCTGAAATCGCTCACATCGCTGTAAGTGGAAGCAGAGTCGCGTGGCGGGAGGGGGAGGGGGAGGCAGAAGAGGGATGTGTCCATATTTTTCAGGAGGTGTTTTATCAAGGTTTTATGTTCCCTTACACACTTGTGGCAACCTGGTAAAAGAAACAAATATTTCTTCAGGGGAAATTGATCTCAGAGAATATTTCTACAACCTAAATGCATTATTTTTATTGATTAAGTGCCCAAGAGGCTTCCCAGTTTATTGGCTTCTAATTCAAGTGCATCTTTTACTCTAACCCGTGCCCAGTGCAATCCCCATGTCTCCACAGCGCTCTCCAGGGAGATGTAGGGAGAGAATTGAAACATATGTTTATTACCCAGGTACCCATTTCGCCATGTATGTGCCCTTGTCAAGGGAAGAGCTAATTTTCTCCCCCTGATTTTCAGGCTTTTTCTCCAAACCAGCCTCACAGCAGTTGTGCTGAGAAAGCCTCAGGCCCATCCTGGAAGCCCTTTCTTTGATCTTGAAACCCCAGTACAACTAACTGGGTAGAGCCAAGCCTACCCCAAGCCTACTCCACCGGGGCTCAGAGGTTCCCAGGGGCAGGGAGGTGAGAAGCACCGCCCTGATTCTCTCAGTGGCGCACCCTGTGGCGTAGGGAAGTCATTCGAGTTTTCAGTGCATGTTTTCTCACAAGGAAGATGGGGACAGTGACACCTTTCCTGCCCCCACATTCCTGGCAGCCAAGATGACAGCACTGACAGCCGGCGGTACACACCACTTTGTGAGTGCTGGCAGGTGCTGCTTAGTAGTCTTGCAAGTTTAATTCTCATAACCTAAAATAGGGACTCTCCTCTGTCTTTTCCAGTTGAGGAAACTGGGTGATCTAAGCTCCACACTGATAGGGGTTTTTGTCTGTTTTGATCCTGGCTGAATCTTCAGCTCCTCACATAGTATCTGGCTCATAGTTATTGCAAAAAATGAAACTTCTTGAATAAATAAAGGTAGCCTATGAGAAGTCCGCAAGTGGGAGAAGCAGGATTTGGGCCCAGGCAGCATGACCACGGAGCCTACACTCTTGGTCCACGTGTTGTGCGGCCTATGGAGGGACTGTGCCAAGTATAAGTGAGGTACAACAAAGCTCGCGTGGGTTGATGTGATTTATGTCATTTGGTGACCTGCGCACCTGGGCAAGAGCCAGGATACTCAAGGCAAGCTGTCCAGTCTTTGCCTCTCAGTGAAGCCTGTTTGCTTAATTTATGAGCGGGCAGGTAACAAGATATATACACGTCTTTCCCCCACCTGCTTCCCCCCCCAGAAGGGGCTGAGGACAAAGAAGAATCTTGATTCAGCTGTTGCCTGCTGCTTACAGAGTAAATTAGTTTCATTTATCGAATAGAACATCTGGCTGGGATATCAAAGACAGGATTGTGTGTGAGATTAGTGTCTGCTTATTGTGCTGAAGATCACAGAGGAGAAGGGAGGGTGGCCCTCTGTCACCAGGATCCTGTCCCTGCCCCTGCCTTCCCATCCCCTTGTCTGCTTTCCCTGTGCTGGGATTTGGTGACAGTCTGAGGACAGTGAGATGCTTCTGGTCCCACAGGAAAATAAATTCAAAATCTGGTTGCCAAACATGAAATTGGCACGCCACTAGCTAATTCTGAAATGTTCTGGGACACTGTTAAGGGAAGTGCCTCTGACCCCCAATTTATGCATTTATCCATTCAGTAGGTGCCTACTATGTACTGAGTAGTGTTACAGGCACTGAGAATGTGGCAATGAACTGGTCTGACAAGCCTCTTGGCCTCATAGGGCTTTGAACACATACAGTCAACCTCAGGAGTGACCAAGGTAAAGAAAGGGCAGGAAGGTCTTTACCCCATACCTCTTTGTTCATTCTTCCAACAAATCCTGATTGTGCTAGACCCCATTCCCATCTTAGCTGTAGGTACCCAGCCGTAACTAACCATATGTCACCCCGTGCACAGAGCCCACATTCAAGGGAACAGGGAGGTAGAGGCACAGAAAAAAAATTTTAATGAATAAATAATATAACATGATGTGAAATAAAGAGAGTGGCAGGTGGTGAAACATATTAACTGCAGTATTCAAGAGAAGCTCCCCAAGGAAGAGATATTTGAGCGCAGACCTGAAAGGTGGGAAGAAGGCAGTCAAGGGAAGATCTAGGGGGAAGCCAGATGCGTCCACACCTAGATGCCCCAAGGTGGGTCCACAGCCCACTTCAGCCTGCCTAAGAGTGGTTTTGAGCCACTAGGCTCAGAGCATCCCTTACGGAGGTGTGATGAGTGATGTGAGGACCTGTGGTTGCAGGACCCACAGCCTAGCCACCCTACCAGCTTCTGCTACACTAGAAGTCCTGACATCAGCCAAGACGAGCAGACAGTGACATTACTACCTTTGGAACAGTGAGCAGTGGGACGTTAATATGAATTACAAATGTGAGCCTGCGCCATCATGCTGACTTTATTTACTCATTAATTTGTTGAAACATTAATGAAACACACCCGCAGGCTGAATGAGGCACTCACTCTTCACTCCTGGTGGCATCTGGAAAATGGGGAGTTTGGTTTATCACTCTCATTTACCATTTTTTCATCCTAAAATTTTGCCTCCTCAAAGACACATAAAAATCTGGATTTGTAATCTGAATGGGGATTGAATATTGCATTCATTCTGTGCTCTTCAGGGCCCGAGAGGGAATTAAAAATAAAAATGAAACTCTCTTTAGCTCAGTTCCCTCCTTCTCAGAGGAGGCTGCACCCACGAGATGCAAAGTCTGTGCCATGGATGAGAGCAGGGAGAGGCCAGCATTGTCTTCTGGGCCTGTGTTGAAGGCCAGTAGGACCCTCTGGGTGCTGGGCTGCAGAGGCGGACAGTAGGCTTCTTCCCCAAGCCTCACAAGTCAAAGACTTTGCCCATGAATAGGAGATACCAGTGCGAGGAACCTGTAGCTCTAAAAGACAGTGGGATCAAAGACTTCAGAGTTCCTTGGTTCCTGGAGCTCAAAGAATAGGAAAAGGGAGTGGAGTACAGGAGCTGCCATCAATCTGAGATGACAGTTCCTTGCTCCTCAACTTTTCCTAAGAGCCAGCCCCTGACTCAGCAGTCCCAAGTCTATCTGGATAGCACTCCAGAGTCCCAAAGCCCTGTCTCAATGGATGATCAAAGAACTCAGCTAAGGAATTCCTAGGATGCAATGGGATATTAAAAGGAAACATTCTATAGGCTGTGCTCAGCCTGATCAATACCCATTGAAGTCAAGAAGACACAAGGCCTGCCAGCTTCCCACACATCTTATTTATTGCCGGGGTGTGAGTCATATGAGCAGCTCAGGCAGGCACACAGAGGGACTGCTGCTTCCCATTGTGGATGACTCACTGAGCTGGGCTGCCCGGGATGAAAGACGACGGGGCCCGTTTCTCCTCGCCTCCCAGACAGCCTGTCCAGCCAGCCCCTAGTGGCGCTTGCCTGCGGCTCACTGGTGGAGGGAAGGAATGAGGCCACCTGGGGAAGGAGACGCGCTGAGACGTCCTTCCTCCCGACCAGAGTTAGCCAAGGTGACAGCCTCCCATGTGAATGGCTTCCAGTGACCTCACATCCACAGTGACTACTGTGTTCTTCGCTCTTTTCCAGGGTGCTCTATGGGAACAAGATCACCGAGATCGCCAAGGGACTGTTTGATGGGCTGGTGTCCCTACAGCTGCTGTGAGTAGGCACCTGTCACTCGTTGTGTCTCTGGGACCCCAGGCAGGTTCTTCCTTGCAAACTTTAGTCATGCTCTGTAGAGTTCTTCTTTTGACTTTGTATACACCAAAAGGAAAAATAAAATTCTGAGCTGTCACCCCTCACCTCCACCTCCTCTTTCTGTTGGAAGGAGAGCCAGGGAGTTGGCAGGGGGAGGCCAAGGGCAATGTAAACAAATCTAAATGACACAGCTCAGGAGCCTGACCCAGGCATGAGTTTCTAGCCCTCGGTTTGGGGGCTAGAAACTAAGCCAGAGTTAACTCCTTCAAGGGGGAGCATCTTGCAGGAGTGTGCTAGGAATTTAGGCAACTAAAACATTCACATATCATATTCCAGTATTAAAGCTGAAATGGAGCTCTCTCAGACATGTGACCTTGAAGAAGGGTGGGGGTGGGGTGGTGAAATAATTAGGGAAGGGCATAATCTGTCACCAATGTGACTCTATCTGTATAAGATATGGCTGAGGGGAGAAGTGTTTATTTAATTTAAAGGAAGATTTGTTGTCTTGAATTTGCAGCTCTGGGATTATTTATTTGCATTTATTTCATCCCAGTCATTTGAGCTTAAATGTTTGAGGAAGATAATTGAACTCTGATGTGGGGAGGCAAGCAAGGAAAGGAATTTAGCTCATTCTGTATTTTAAGATTTCTGATTGGGGGAGAATTAGGTCTGGTTTGTGATTAGATAGCCAGAGCATCTCCACACATGTACTGTGAGTGTGGGAGTGTGTGTGTGTGTCCATGTCTGCTCAGGGACCATCAGTTCCTACTGGTAGTAGGAAATGATCCTAAATATCCTGGGAGCAATGGAGAATACCACGTATCAGAGAGGCAAGTGACTTGCCCTTAGTCACACAGCAAAAGAGGTGTGGAGACAGCAGTAGTGTTTACATGGTCTTATGGATGAGGAGGGTCCAGTTCTCTGAAAAGCACAAGATGTACGTGCATGAATGTGTGTGTCTGTAAAACCACCTCCAAGTCATGGGCAGCAAGAAAGGGGCCTGGGGCTTCCCCACTTCCCATGTGCAGTGAAGTGAAGCAGCAGTATGAATTTGCAGACTGGGTCTCGGGCTGAGTGGGAGCCAGAAGCAAGAATGGAGAGAGGCAACACATCTCACAGGGTGACTCCCAAAGATTCTGTAAGAAAGAGGAAGTGAGACTTTTCCTTAGCCTTCCCCTTCCCATATCTTTACTCCCTACCCTCCCCATGTCCTGTAAGACTCAGCCCTGGATAGATTCTCCTAGGACAATACAGTAATGTGAATCATGTCACAGTGTGATGTCCAGCCAGTTTCCAGACAGCTGTCCATCAGAGTAGGAGTCAGGCTTGGTTCAATGAAGCTGAAGCAAGAGAAAGAAAATTCCGTTATTTTTTTCCATGCATGTCCCCCCACCTCTGTCTCCATGTCTGTCTTACTCTGTGTTATCTATGGGCAAGCATATTTGTGTTCAAAGGTCCCAGCTCTCAGTGGGCCTTTAAGGCTGTTTGTTAGAATGACACGCAGGAGCTCTGCAGGGAGCTGGGTGTTTCACAGATGGTGTTCTTTGCTTGTAGCAAAGAAACTGTAAGTTATAACTGCCACCATAAGGCTAGTTAACTGTAGCTATTAATCCCTTGAAAGAAGAGTAACAATAGTGTCCGCCTTGAGGTAGATTTGGGGGTGTTGTGTTCTGCTGGGCTGAATATCATTTTACATTCTGTGTGTTTGGTGTGGAAAGGACAATGCCTTTGCATGCATTAAGGAGAAACATAGCATGCACTGAAGTGCCTAGCACAGGGCATGGTATGTTGTAAGGATTCAAGAGATGCATATCTTTTTCAAAAAGAAATATACCAGCTCCAAGCAGATAGCAGTCATGAGATTAATAGAACTAACAGGACTTTGCATGGGCCAGGAAGGCAACTCCAGTTTAATATCACCATTTTAAGCAGATGGAATTGAGTAGCTGGGAGTAAAGACAAACATCCCCCATTCTCTCACAGCCAAGAGTTGACATAACTCAGACAGGCTCACTTTCCAGAAAGAACCAGCAACTGTAGCCGTCATTGGGTTTTTGCCTGCCTTTGAGCAGTTGGAAAGCAAGTCCTGATTAGATCTAATTTAGAGTTCATCCTGCTGAAGATTGGATTTCTCCTTGGTAGACTGGAGACACTCTGATAAGAATGCCCTGATGAGAATATTCTGGTAATCTAGATAATTTCCTCTCCTTTCTCTTGAAAGCTTTTTGCAAGAGGTTTGTGTTTTTCTTCTCTGTCTCTCAAATTATTGGTGCCTCGCAAAGCCAGGTTGTCCCTGCCACACGAGGTGATCTTGGGTATTCCCTTCCTGGCAGTCTCGTCATGCAGCCTCTGATGAAGTGGGTACATCTGTTGCCTGCCCTCCTCCGTTTCTCCAAACTTTTCAGCTATCCCACCAAATTGGTCTAGCCTAGTCTCTACCCAGTCTCCTGGATCATTTTCTTGATTTATTCATTCCAGCAGATGGCCAACACAAATAGAATATCTCAAGGCTTCAGAAGGATTCAGAGGCTGCAGCAAATGGGTCTACATGGAGGAGCTTCAATAGTCCTAGGAATGACCCCCCTAAACCCAATATCCTGTCCTCTGGGTAGCATCCTCACAAGAGTCACATGCTTAAGTTCCAAAATCTTAGAGTTCAAAGAAACTTCTGGGCTTCAAGCACAGGCTTCTGTCCAGAAACGCCTCCCATGGCCTCCCTGACCAATCTTCCTATGGCTCATCCATGACACTTTCTGTGACAAGTCATTACCATGGAGTTAGAAGGTTAGGAAGCTCTTTCTTATACTAAACCTCCGTAATGGCCTCTGGGAAGCTCAAGAAAAGGCTATTGTCATAATCTTTAAATGTTTGAAAATAGCTAGTATGTCTCCCTGTAATTAATCATATGCAGGTTCTGCTCCTGCAGATACTCATTGTATAAACACATCCAATGGCTATTAGTAACAACCCTTATTATCACTGGGGATGCAAGATAGTCTATCAGCAGCTCTCTTTAAAACAGGCTGCTGGGAAATGAGTCAGATACTCATTTGGACAAGAAGTGTGAAGTTCACTCTGACACTGCTGAGGACTGAAGTACCCCACATGGAGCCCTCTCAGAATCCAGGGTTAGCGCATGACATGCCGTTGGGCACGACCCCAACTCTGGGGAAGAGAGCAGCTGGATCACCAGAGGAGTGACCTGTTCTCTTCTCCCCAACTCCATCCGTTCCCTTCCTTGACTAAAGTTCGGGTGAACGCTTAGAGTGCTTAGCTCCTCTTGAGTCCCCTGCCCTCCAGGCTTCTGGGCAACTGGGACACCTGTAGAGATTGAGACCCTGGGTGTGCAGCCAGCCAGAGGGTCTCCAGAGGCCTCGTAGCTCAGAGGTCAGTCTTGCCCCAAAGCAAGAAAAGCCCTCAGCATGTCTCTAGAGCCATCACTTCCTCTCCTGATGGGCAGCCGCAAGCTGTGCTGTTTCAACTGCCCCAGGGAACAAAGAGCATTCGTTTAGTGCTCACTGACTGCATGGCATGCATGTCATTCAAGGTGGACGCTTTCATGTAAAGGCTGGCTGTGGTCGATGTTAAGTCTGCTCCAGGAGGTCCTAAACCAAACCAGCTTATCTTGGGGCTGGAATAAGTTAAGACACCCAGGCACCTGTTTGATTTTCTTGGAAGGCAGACAAGACGATCTGAGGATCTTGGAGTTTGCCAAGCAACATGCCAGTTACAGAGCAGTGAGCAAAACTCACTGCTAGCTCACTCTCTCCCTGTCTCAGTACCTCACTGACACTCCCTGTAGCTCACTCTCCCTCACCAGCTGTTTCACAATGATTACTACTGCTGCTAATAATAGCAGCTAATATTGATCCAATACTTAATATGCTCTGGAACCTGTGCTAAGCAATTTTATATGCATCACCTCCTGTAATCTTTACAACAGTGTTACAAGGAAGGTGTTGTTGAAAGGCCCATTTGACAGACGGGGAAACCAGGGCACTGAAGGGTTGAGTAACTTGGTGGCATTGCTCAGCATTTAAGTGATGGAGCAGAGGAACCCAGGCAGTCTGATTCTAGAGTCCACGCGAGAGGTTTGTGCTTCAGACCCAGTCATAGGCAGAACTGCAGACAAGTTTTATGATACACAGAACGAGTTCCCCACTGGCTTGGGCCAAGAGGAGGCGCTGCTGAGCCGTGAACCCATTCCTCTTGCTGCACCTCCTGTCAGCAGCCCCGGGCCGCTGTCTCGGTGCGCCATCCCCTGGCTCCCTGCCACCGCCACATGGCCTTGCCCTGAACCCTGGAGGAGGGCGGTCAAGGAGCTGCTTGGTCTTGAAGACCTGGCCTCCCTGGCAGCAGGAGCAGGCTTACTCTTCCTAGAACAGTGGGAGGCATTCTGAGGGAGGAGTTCTTCCCACTCCTGGGCACCCGGAGGTTCCTCCAGAGAGCTCTCAGGGAAACCTGAACGCTGGGATCCTTCCCTGCCTGGCCATGGAGGGAATGGTTCACACCTCTTCAAGGACTGACAGTAAGCAGGTGGCAGTCAGGCAAGTGACCGCAGCCCTAGGAGCTGCTGGGGGAGGGCTGCACAAGCCAAGTCTCCTGGCAGCATGTGATGGGCCCCTGTCTGGTCGCTGAGAGCCTCAGTTTCCCTCTGCTCACCTGAGGAAAGCCTAGCTGCTTGCACCCTGTTCTCAGGGGCCTCCTATGTCTGAGAAGTCAGAGGAGGGCCTGTTTTCTGAAAGGCCACTTGTAGCATTGCGCCTTTGTGTTTCCCTGCATCAGGAATCACCATGACAACACACAGCCTGTGGCAGTCAGTGCAGGCATCAGGAGAAAGGGGAAAGGGGAAACGGGCAGTGTCTTCCTTGCCCCGGGTTGGGACCTGGAGGATTCCTTCTGCTTCCTCCCAGAGAGCTGGGCACTGTGTGGCCCAGGGCACCCAGCCACAAGAGTAGGCT